TGATGTGGCTTCCACGTAAGATGTTAAATATTATGCTTTTTTCATGACTAAGTATAATATTAGAGCAGTACTAACAACGGACCTACTGATACATAAACTGCTGTCACAATAGTTATCTTCATCCACATTCGTGTGTATGGAATAGAAGGACTTGGTCGTATGCGAAGTTCAAATCGTCTATTTTCATCTAAACTATCGATTGTATTACATGCTTAGCCTCACGCGTGGAGGTCTTTATAGTCTAGTCAACCACCAAGTCAAAGAAAATGGGATACATGATATTTTTATTTCTTGGAATGAACTTATGTGCTTACCAATTATTTATCTTTTTAAATTCGGAATATTTATTTCAGCAGTCGAAGTTGAGTTTCAAATCCGTCTCCGACATTGAACTTCATGGCCTGTTTCCGTTGTCTAAGTGTAATGTTTTCAAATCTGGTCATTTTTTGTATTATTTTTACGAAACGTTGACTTCTCTTTGCATTCAAATCTAACACACTACACATGACCAAGTGATGATTCCTTGAGTGATTCATATGTCAATACGATTCCCTAGAAGGTTATGGGCTTCTTTTGGTCACGCATCAGATTTCGGGCGACTCAATGTATTCCTCAAAGTCCTCCACAGTTGCATAAGCAGCATTGTCTGACTACAGTCCTCACTTGGAATGAGTCCCTCAGCTGTCCTCCATGCATCACTTTGCAGTGTAGTCCGTCGTATGAATTCCGTATGATGTTGACGATCTGCTCAGGTACACCACAGTGTCGAATAAGGTTCCATAGTATTCTCTTCGTTACCTGCTTCGCAACTCTCCAATAAATCGTTATCTTCATTATCTTGAGTACACATCGGATTGGGACGATGCAGTGATGTAGTGGAATTCTTGACATCCTGAAGGGTCATTTTCTGAAAATTTTATTCTTTATAGCACTCGATATCTGTACACTTTACATGATCTAGTAGTAATCCTTTGACATTTGAAAAGGAATGTGAAATATGCTTGATTAGAAATGCCAAAGTTTCCAATGAATGTAAGTAGATGAGCCATAATATTAACATCCTCGATATCTTCACTGATTATAGTCCATATTTTGAACCTTTCCATATAATTCTCATAAGCATTAAATTTGGATTTATGTCCAACAGTCCCATCACAGGTTCCTGTTCTTGACTCCAATGTGATGATTAAAAGCTAATTTTATTCTCAGGATCTCAAAGCTGTCGTATGGCTGGTTAAACTAAACGTAGGTAACATTTCCTTTAAATTACTTGATAATAATTCTACATCTGAAGTGTCATCATCTTATTCGTCTTTCAGAACAGAGAGTTTGCAATTACATATTACAAAAATATTCAATAGTTCTGAACTAATTACTTGTTGGTTGATCAAAGAGCAATGATTTTGTACTTGTTGTGATTATCCGTGATTTTGTGTAATTTTTGCATCAAAAGTTTGTCTTGTGGTGCCCTTTTATTCATTGACTGACACTTGTGTTCATATTGTGTTTTACACCTTAATCTGACTAAAATGTTTGGTAGTACCCACAAATGTGGACAACCAAACTGTTTGTTCACCGTGGAGGAAAGAATGCAGTGTGATGAATACAAAAAGTAGTTCCATAAGATGTACATCCGTTTTAGTCCCATCACATACAAAAGATATTGGAAGCCTAACTCACATTGGCTTTGCATGTTTTGCTACGCAAATGAGACTTTACTAATACAGAAGACTATGAACCCATTGGCTTTGGCCTGTAAAAAGAGCGATGGCGCATGGGCTGATAACAAGAGCACTGATAGTGGCGAATATAACAGTGTAATACCTGCTGTTACGAGACGCCTCAAACACCCGACTTTGGTTGATGGAAAATTGAAATCTCTGTTAACATTAACGAGGAGGGGAGTACCACATGACGTCGACATTGGCAATCACACACCCTTAACGGAAACTGAAGATCTGAATAAAACCGTCACCACTCAAAATATATATGGTGTCCTGAGGGATGAAAAATGGACTATAGTACGGAGAAGACGAAACGAAAAGAAGAAAGATGTAGGCAGTACGCAGATGGTTAGTAAATCATTGGAATCCGATTGTGAGTCACAAAATGCACTACCAAAATATGACAGTTAGAGACGAACTCACACTGGCGTGACTGCGAAGGAGAATCTAATATCATTGAATAGTATTGTGAGCATATTGCTTGAGTCAAACGACCATGATCCCAAAATTTGACGCGCGCATGATTTAGAGAAGCTGGGAGAATATATTCGTAGTATCTCACCAGATAACTCTAACGAAGTTCAGGTCAAAAACCTGGTTAGAATAGGCAAGAGGACCGAGGACAATGTTGAACCCCGACCATGTAGACTCCTTAAGGTAACCCTAGGGTCGGAGAAGCAACGGGATCTCCTGTTAAGTAGCGCTCGCTGTCACGACAACTCCGACATCCTAGTTAGACCTGGTATGTCTCTCAAAGATAGAATAAAAAGGAAGGAAGCACTAGCTGAACTAGAAGTCGGTCGACAAAACGGTGAGGAAAATCTCCGGTTAGTGGGTTTTTGGATAGTCAGATTTTGGAAGCGAATGTTACCAATGCCTGTATGGGCAGGCCGTTCTATCTAGGATTTTTATGTGCCAACGCTCGTAGTCTAAGAAATAAGTTATATGAACTAGAAACCCTATTGGACAGATTAATGCCACTCATTGTAGCAGCTACAGAATTATCCGGATACCATTACCTAAGGATTGATAGACGCAGATGTAGAAAAGGAGTTGGCGTCCTTTTTTATATAACCAATAATATAAATATCCGCTCCTCTGCTTACGAATCCCATGATAACGTGCTTGGGAAGTCATTAGCTGTAAATGGGCTATCAAATGTAGTACATTTATGCTCGGTGTCATCTATCGCAGCTCAATCTGTTTAGCTAATGACTTTATTTTAGAGCACATCCAGCTTTGGGATGCTTGATAATAGGAGACTTTAATGCACCTGATATTATTTGGGCTGAGATGACCACGGAAGGATCTATAAACCTAGTACCACGAAGACCGAATAAGAGTAGCCACCATGGATAACTAAACCAGTTAGGAAACTTCTGAGAAGAACAACTGGCTAGGGATTCTAGATATAGTCTGAAATGATTATTCTCGTATATAAAAAGGTGAACTCGTAGGCTGAAGCTTTATCGGAATATTTCAGTGAAGTGTTTTCTATCAGTAATGAGGAACGACCAACGATTCATTGTGATTGTGGCGGCTCGCTGATGGACCCTGTGGTCATTGAGAAAGGTACTGTTTTAAGGTTACTTTAGCGTCTCAAACCTGATAAATTCAGTGGTCCTGATGAGATTCATCTTAGGATTATGGAAGCCATATCAAATGTAATTGCTAAACCATTAACGATACTGCTTGATATGTCTCTGAGGCAGTCCAGACTGCCCAGAAACTGGAAAAAAAATCTATAATAAGTCCGGTATATAAGGCTGGATGCAGTTATTTAGTTAGTAACTATTTGCTCGTTAGCTTAACTAGTGCAGTTGTAAAACTGATGGAAAAATTCATTCGGATATCTGTTATAAACCATTTTGAAGGGAATAATCTTTTATCCGGGGAACAACATGGTTTTCGGAGAGACTTATGATGTTTGACAAATCTCATTGCAAGAGTAGATTGGGCTGTGGCTAAAGATCGGAATATTCCTGTGGATGTGATCTTCATAGATCTATGTAAAGCCTTTGATAAAGTCTCCCATTCAAGCATTAAATTAGAACTGGAAAGTTTTGGAACATATTACAAGGTTATAAACTGGGTAAGCGACCTCCTCCGTGACAGGAAACACAGCGTAATGGTTAAAATAACTCTCATCCTGGGGAACTGTAAAAAGTGGAGTTCTCCAAGGCGCAGTGCTCGGTTTACCTCTCCTTTTCCTTCATGTAGTTGATTCACCAACTGTGGAAGAGTTATCTGCTCTACTTCTCGCCGACGACATAAAGATTCGGAGACCTTTGCACAGTAAGTCAAGTAGAATAGTATTACATGATGATCCTATCTCATTGGTGGCATGGTTGGACAGATGGTCACTAGAAGAAAATCCTAATGATAGTGTAGGGATGCAATTGAATAATCATGATGATTCGTATCACTACACAATATGTGGATTCGTGTTACCCAAAGTAAGAAACTATAAAGATTAAGGAGTGATTTTAAGCAGTGATCTCAAAACCACCAGTCACTGTAAGGCTGCTGCTGCTACAAAAGCCTATAGGGTGTTAGGGTGTATTTGTAGGTCTTACCAGTATTTAAATGACGAAATGTTTAAATTATTGTACCCGATTTACATGCAATTACGTTTGGAATATGGGATTCAATCAACGAGTTCTTGTTTCGAGTATGAAATAGATATGCTGGAAAGAGTCCAATTACAAGGTACTAAGATGGTAAAAGGTCTGTCTGCCTATCTTATGTAAACAGACTGATACACCTCAACTTAGTTTCGTTATCTTACCGTAGAATACTATATTGAACGATGACTTTGGCACTAATATGTCTTATCTTTTCCTTCCGTCTAGGACTCATCATTTGAGAAGCAAGTTAAAAAACCAAGATCAAATCGTCTATATCTGCAGTTTCATTTCTCGCAACAAGTAGTCAATTACTGGAATTCGCTATCAAAACGCGTAATATTAGCACCTTCTGTTGATATATTCAAAACGAGACTGGACACCCAGTGTTAAAAACTGCAAGGATTGATATTAGTGGACAGACCTCATGTCCTATCCTTATTACTGAAGTGGTTGAAGATCCATCTGCAAACACACTTAAAAGAAACTTGAATCAACAGAGAGAACTCTATATTCAGGACAAAAGCAATCTTTCCAAGCCCTTTTTCCTCTAGAAACTGAAAATAATTGAATGTTGAAAAGTGGAACCTGTGAGAATGTTTTAGTGAATTGGGGTTAAGGGTCTTAGTTAAGCTTCCAATTTCGGCGTGAGATGTATAGACTTGTTTCTCGTGTTTTGTCTGGTGCTCGTTTAACGTTCGCAAGTAAAGGAATCCAGATATTAAGTAAACCAAGTACTATTAAACATTTTACTACTTCAACTTGGTTCTGTTCATCTCAAGGTAAGATTTTCGGTTGTCTATACGAATGTAGTCTAGTTGACCGTCAGCTCAACCAGTTTCTGACCAATGAAATTAAACAAGAAAAGGCAAATGCTTTCTTCTGCGATCCCCCTGAAGGGTTTAAAGTAGTAAAAACCAATGGATGTGAAGTCGTTATACGCAAAGAATATCAAGATGGAGTGTAAACAATATTTATCTTAAATATATTAGATTTAGTTTCGTCGACGTGGAGATTAATTTGGCTGGTAGTGTTACTCCTAGTATTTCTGAAGATGAAATGAGTACTACGGAAAAGAGTGAGGATGATACTGCTTTGGAGGCTCATCCTGATTTGCGTATTAAACTCACAAAACCTAGTGGTCGAAGTCTGGTTTTCAACTGCAGTCTTCCAGGCCATGACGCTGAAAAACAACTTTCTGAAGATGAGTCGAATGATCTCCGTAAGTGTTTTCTTGTGTAGTCAGCGTTTCGTAAATTTTAGTATAAAATCTAACAAGTTACAAGGTTTATGCCATCAAAACTTCTTAGTGTAGCGGTTTAGACAGCAGTGGTTGCAAGGTGAGATTCTGTTCTGTAATCTAGTCCGTGAATCTTCGTTTACCTGGGCCTGTAATAAGCTTCATAAGAGAAGGTAGCTAGCTTGTGTTAGCTGTAAATATGTTGAGGAAACTGAGCTTAAACGTATCTAGCAGTTATTGTAGGTAGTCGGACCTTTATCTCGCTATTTCGTGTTCATAAGGTTGTGCTTTAGATGAGTTGTCTAGTTATATGCATAACGCTCAGCACACTTGAAATAGCTTATTTTAGTCTACATCTAGTGATATTTGAAAGAACAAAGTACTTGACCCCTCCTGAGTTCACGTCATACCCACACCACACCGGTACAGCTGACTGACTTTCTGGGTAAATGAGCTTGTCAGAAACTGACAACAAGGTTACCCTCCTCATTTTGGTATGAACTGACCAGCAGGGAGTTCTGACAACCCTAAGTAACAATGCAAGCATGTTCGAGATGCGATTCTCCCCCTCGAAATGCAAAATGTTGCTTCAGGACTAGGTTGCATCGACACCTGAACTAATGATAGGGAGTGAAGTAGTTGAGCATGTCGACCGCTTCACTTATCTTGGAAGTCTCATCAGCCCTTATGGTCTGGTGTGTGACGAAATCTCAGCACGGATACAGAAGGCTCGACTAGTTTTTGCCAACTCGCGTCGTTTATGGCGTAGGCGAGATATCCGTCTATCAACTGCGCAGCAGTTCGTTCCATCCTACTTTATGACAGTGAAACATGGCCGGTAAGAATAGAGGATATCCGTAAGCTACTAGTATTCGATCATAGGTGTCTCGTATATCATGGGACCATCGAGTAAGTAACACAGTTGTTAGGAAACGGGTACTAGGTAAGGATGGTAAATCAATTGTTGACGTAGTGAAACTTCATCAGTTGAGATGGCTGGGACACGTGTTACGTATGCCCAACGACCGACTACCTCGACTTGCTATGTTCGGTGGTATAGGAGTAGATTGGAAGAAAGCTAGGGGCGGCCAGACAAAAACATGGCACAAGTCCATGAAGTCACTGACAAGTGGACTGAGTCATGTTGGTAGGTGTAGACTATCTGGTTGGGGACCGCGAGACGAGAGCAACTGATGGTTAGAGACCTTGAATGATATGGCTCAAAATAGTTTGCAATGGCTCAGGTACATCCACTCTTTGTGTTCTCCCAAATTTTAATCTTCTAATTCCTCCTTGTCTCTTTTTTCTCTTCCCAAATTTATTTCACTGGATTATACTCTTTAAATAACATCTCCAAACCCTAATGTTTCCGATTACTGCTTATACCCTTACTCTACCACTATGGGATTTGAATCGACAACTGTATCTCTGTGCTAATGTGGTATGGCAACTCGAACTGATGTACGTACGTACAAAGTTTTACGTTGTTACTGGCTGACTGACAGACTTACGGTATCCGTAGATTGTCTATGTGGAACAGAGGTGGTTTTTGAAGACTCTAGGTAAACGTCTTGACAATAATCTTTCGCTTTATAGTCTAATACATTTCTTCCCTTTACAGCTACTTATTCCGTGGATTCAGTTGAAATTGAACGCATCCCAGGCTATTTCGTGTATACTGATTTATTTGACGACGTAAGTGACTCTCAGTAGTACTGTTCAACATCTTTTGACTAGCCTAATGACTCCTTTCTTTTATCTTAGGATATGTATAATCATACAATGCAATTGCTGGTAGAACGAGGACTGGACGCAGACTTTCAAGAAGAATTGCAAAACTTCTGTACTTCAGAAGAGCACAAGTTATATTTGAAGTTTTTGGATGAATTCCAGAACTATTGCAAAGACTAATTTCAGAAAAATCGCACCAAAGTAGCTACAATTGTTCAAATAATTGCATTTGACGCTGAAGAATTTTATTTAAATAATTACAAAATATTGTACAATATAGTTTATCTTGAGTTCCTATGCATTCAGCAACTGTTCGCCTGCTTGTGCTATAGCACTACCTAAACAAACATATGTTTCGTAGTTGTTGCCTTCCGCTTGACTGAATGCATCGTCAGGTTTTGTACTTGTTTTTTTGAGGAAGTCGCCCAAACTATGCTTGAAGGTAGATAAATTTTGGGTGAACCTGAAATCAAAATTAATAGAGTTGATTGACACCGTGCATATCCTGTTAATCTTTACTATAAAAAGTGTATGAATTCAGCACTGATAACTAGTTTAAAGTTTATCTGTGATAACACATAAACTTTAAACTAGTTCAACCGGTGGGACCAACCCATATTTTGTCATCATAGAAACCGTGTTATTGTTGTATTACATTTTGTTCCAGAGTGAATCGTTAAGAATTTCAAACCTCCGACCTTTCAGTGTTATTATGGTTACTTATATGTAATACAATAGGCCTAAAGAGTAGCTATTAGCTTCGAAGATTAGTCAGAAAGTTCCAAAATATGCTTACTCATCAGAAAACGATGGTGTATATTTAGCTAGTAGATAGGGAGGTTTTAATGAATAAACCACGGGATTCTCAAGCGATGAAAACGAACTTTGATAGCACGAAAAGTTTTGAAACAACATTTGGGATGTGGGGGGAAAAGTCGCCACTTTGGGTGGCAATTGATCTTCACTATGAATAGTTGATAGGTCAAGTAATTATGCTTTTAAGTTGGTGGTTACGCTCGCAGGCCCCTATGATCAGCACTGGTTAACCTTTACAAGTTTATCCACGGTATGAGCAGCCGGGAAGTGACAACCACCCTCATACACCCAACAAAACACGAGACCATCTTATTGACGACCAAACTTCACTCTCACCTCTTAATAATTATTTCGTTCACACGACTAACCCTTCTCACATCTTTATTACCACGCGCTACCAGTACTGATGATTTGAGATCACGAAATGTTATTCTTGGTTTTCTGGAACCAAGCTCTAAACTACGTGTTGGAGCTTTTACGTCTCGAACCTTGTGTCAGATAAGACAACTGGCTTCTTTAGCTACGACTCGAGAATCTCGCGCCATCGATGTATGCTGTCTTTGGAACGCGCAAACAGGACCCAAGTAGTTATTCATTTGACCTCACCTAGTCAATATGACGAACTTGTACGATTTAACCTCCGAGTATCTGGAGATCCTACTGGGGTAGGGGTGGCATTAACCTTAAAAGCATAACAGCTGTTGTTAGGCTGATCAAAATAGATAGTCAGTCATGCGCTCCCATACTAAACTGGACAGCAAAAACTTTAAAATGTGTGGACTCATACCGTCGCATTTTCGTTGTCTATGCTTACGCTCCCACTGACTGTAGCTCAGACAAAGTTGAAAATGAATTTTATCGGGAGTTATCCAATCTCCTTCAAAAACCTCTGGTACAGTGATAGTGGCAGGTGGTTTTAATGCTCATGTATGTAAGCTAAACACAAACGAAAGGTACTTAGATCTTATGGTGCTGCGGATCAGCCAACAAACAAGGGTGACCATCTGCTGCAATTAGCCTCAGATAACTGTCTAGTCCTAGTAATTATCAACTTTGAACATAAGGAGAAACATTCTTTGGTGTGGCAACCTCGGTCGATTAGCGAGGTAATTAATCCTTATGTCTGAGACGGCTAAGATATGTAATACCAATGCCCATCAAGCGATTACTTCGACGCGCGATGGTGACTAATGGAGGAGCAGGTTGGAAGAAAGTTACAGGTCGCTAAACTGTGATATGGTGTCAGTTCGTGAAGTTATATGGAGTTGGACTAAGTCATTTAAAAAGGTGTACACTACCTGGTTGAATTCCGCGTAACCAGTTATTGAATGAATAACATGGCTCAAGATCGTTTGTAATAGTATAGGTGAATCCACTCTTTGTCTTCCTCCAGATTTTACGCTTTTGAGTTCCTCATAAATTTTCTGTATTCTACTAATTTATATTTTCTTGAATCGTATCTTCGATTCCTAATCTTTCCTATTATCACTAACACTGTTACAACTTATGCTTGTTCTAATAATTTTACGTGTCCGTGCTAATTAGGTGTAGCAACTTAAACCGATGTATATGCGTATCAAGTTTTACGTTCCAGATGACTGGCAAGGGCGAAATATTGTTGTAAATTCTGTATCAAGGATACGATAACAAAATTATTTACTGTGCCATATATTTAGTGGTTAAATAATTGGAAATGAAACAATTAACTGTGCTATGGCGAGCCTATCCACGAAATGAACGAATGGGAGTTTTTGTTACCTAATAAGGAGTATTTCATTTGGAAAGATAAATGTAAAACTTTTATGTTGTCACTAAACTTACGTGTCACGATTTTTAACAGTCAAGTTACATTCAACGTCCTCCATTAATTTATCAAAGAGTTTGGTTGCAGACTCTTGTTTTTCTTCTGGTAGTTCTTTAATTACACGATTTTTTAATTCCGTATAGTACTACAAAATAATATGGGGGAGGGATATAGTATGAGTTATTTTAAAAAAAGTGGTACTAAATAATAAAATGAGACAAGTGTAATCAATGTGTTAAAGCGGAACGAGATAAGCTTCTGTTTAACTTGTTAATTGTGATTACACTGCTTATGATTCCTATTTTATTGCTAATCGACTATTCGCAGCCACTATCGTGTATTATTTTGTTTTTTCGCATTACGGTGAGGATGCAGTCCAGTATGTTTGCATATAAACCCATATATGTTTGAAATATAATAATAGCAGCTGGCTGATGACTTTTTAAACTCAAGGCAGGGCCATAAAGAAAAACGTGCGAGCAACAGATCAGTAGGAGTTTAGCTGTGTCGAATCAAAGTCAGAAGTGCTGATCAGGCAATTCTGAGACACTAGACCTTAGTAGAAGTAGTAGACCTGGAATAGACAAAATTAAAATTCTGATTAGTGGCTTTAGCAGGTGATATGGGTTAGCGTTCTAAGACACAACACAATGAACTACATCAACAATAGGTAGGATGAATGGTAGAATCAGTACTTTTAACTTTTAAAGGTAAGTTCAGAGTATACAGCCAAACGATCTTGGGGTGTTAACCGATTTGGCAAATCAGGAGATGGCAAAATCATCAAATGACTTATTATGTTAGGAATTAGGATATGATTTTAGGATTGTTCCATTATAGCTGATGTTAATTGGTCACAAAAATTCAAACACCTAACCTTAAGTTCTTGTTGCGTAGGCGAAAGTGGACAATGTTTTCGGATTGGGTAGTGGCTCCCAAATGTCCTGGTACGGCCGAGAGTGTGGAGATTCCACTCTTCCTCTCGAAATGCTCTCACACGGTCACGTATATACAACCAGTGACAGGGGAGTCCTACTCACTGCCTCCTAGTGGAAGTAGTGTTGTTCGCGAAGTCGAGAGGACGAAAATCAAATGTCCGGCGTTTTAACCGGGTTGGTGGACAAAGAGAGTCCACCTAGGGAGTTGGGAAACCCTGATTCCAGACCACTGGTGCACATCGGGCTCCAGGATATTGAGGGAACAAATGAACCTACTGTTGATCACCAGCTACCATAGGACTGCATCTCGTAAAGTTGCTTCACTGTCTTATGGAATATACATTTCGGTCAAAGTCTCTGGGCGTGGCCACATAAGGAAACCACCTGCTTTGGTCTGGGCACCCGGGCAGTATCCCAGCCCTTACACAAAATAATGATAACTTACTGGTCTCATTGTTATTGAGTGGTGCATATGTATTTTGTGCCCCCTTGTACCAATGCTTACGTGTTCAAACAAATAAATAAATAATCTGATAGGTACCTGATGTGTCTTATATTCCTATCTTTTGCATTTACTGGATTGTTGATTAATCCACGTGTTATGGTAAGTCAATCAGAAGTAGCCTAATGAGAAGGTCAATTGCTGGCAATCAGAAATGAACTAGAGGACAAGTGCAATTTATTGGCTAAGAAATGGATCAATTTCCTAGGGGTGAGAGTGGTATATATAAAAATGAGTATTTGTGCATTTCGCTCGGTAGCCCAATATACTTTCTAGTTCACCATTATATTGTCGCTCAAGTAGCCAGTTGGGGGGTTAGTGCATAACACACCATGTGTCAGTATCATTTCCCAAACACCGCCTGTCACGTCTAATCAGGCGAATTATGCGTTCTTGATTTGAGTTACGTTAACTCATGGTAGATTAGTTCCTCAATGGTTATTTAGTTTAAAGCACGTAAAACGTACAAAAAGTAAAATCCTTCATTGTTCATTCTAAGCAAACAAACGTCTCATCAGTGTTCAAGAGTAGTCGAACATTATTTCACTCTTAACATTATTTCTTAAAAATTTTGATATTTGTACCATAACTTTTCTTTTCACCTCATTGATTCGACTACATGACTAATGAATACATTTCGCTGAGAGATGGAGAAAGACATGAGAAAAATAAACAAAAATTGGACAGAACTGGAAAGGAAAGCCCAAGACAGAATGGGTTGGAGAATGTTGGTCGGCAGCCTATGCTCCATTGTGAGTAACAGGCGTAAGTAATATTCGACTACATATACTTTAAGTTAAACACTACTAGAAAATATCATATCGATTGACGAATAATTATGAGACTTATTTATTTTGCTATCTCAGAGACGTATCATCTCCTTAGTTGTGTACAAGCATGAATAATGATATAGTCTAAGGATAATGTGTCTCAACTTCATTCACTAAAATGGAATTATCAGAAGGGGTTTGTGGAGATTTTAGAAATGTTGCAGATTGAAATCATGAGTTAATTGAAGCTAGACCACCATGGAAAACCTGGAAGCACTAGACCACTGAGCCGGCATCCGACAGTGTTAATGTTCAACGTCAACCAATGCATGAAGTTGCGCCACCGTACA